CCTAAGTTTTTCAAATTCCCCAAACCTCAGAGGCCTTTGCTGGCACAAGGAAGATGCAGGTTGTGCTGACTAAACATAAAGAGACTTCATTTATTCTGTCAGTCAGGATGGATTTCCAATAATCCACCTTAAGTTGGTTAGCATGGATTTCTAATCAAGACCCAGATGGATGGAGCCAAGCACAAACTTACAGAGGTAAAGGAAAAAGGAAAATAACATAATGATACTGTAAATATAGCTTAGAAACTGGGGTCATCACTTCATGAGGGGTTACAATATACATACACACCTCGGGGCTGCAGTTTGGGTTTCTGTTATGTACTTTGATGAAATGATTCCTGAGGTTTTTATTTGAAAAAATCAAATGGAAACGAACACCTTTTTGGAAGGTATTAAAAACCAGCCGAGCTGATGTTGAGGTCAGCTGGGGGAGTCTTACCAGCATTTTCAGCAGTATTTCTGCCTTGAAAAAAGGAGGCTGCCGGACACCAAAACTGTGGGCGCAGGCATCCAGACTGAAAAGATCCGGCGCAGGCATCCAGACTGAAAAGATCAGGTGTCGCTAAGGGAGGAGGAAGAGGCTAAGCCACGGGCTGTCCTTAAGGAGAAGCAGCCATCCCGGGGAAGGTGCCCTGTGACACTTCAGTCACTGGTTCTGGGTCATGACACTGTCCCCAACCCAACCTCCCCTTACCTGGCCAGCCCTTGTCACCCAACTCTGGCCCTCTCAGTGTGTCTTCTCCTAACTTTCTTCTGTTTGGAACAAAACCAGGGCTCCATGCCACCCCACCTTTACTGTATGTATAGCTTCCATCTGGTCTGATTTCGTTCCCCCGACTTCGGTGAACATTGATTGCAGTTTGTTGGCTCTGGTATTGCCATAAAACCCCATCTGGATGACCAGGTTTCCAGTCTGGCACAGGAGATGTTTTCTTACCAGGGTATCTTGTTTTCACTCTTGTCCGTTCAGCCTGTGTGCTGTAAAAGCCTTCTTCTCCTCAGATCTGCCTCTCAGCCTTGGTCCTAGTAAAATTTGACTGATCTTTCCGCCAAGGAAGTGATCTATAAAAAGGCAGCTAAATAAGGGAATCTTCAGAAATGACTTTT